ACGCGCACAGCCATGGTGGGCCGGCTCAGTCTGCAGGATGTCCCTGAGCTCGTGGACACGAAGAAGAAGGGAGACAGCGTCCTGGACAGTCCGGACTCCGGGCTGCCTTCCAGCCCGAGCCCCAGCCACTGGGGGCTCGTGGCCGGGGGCGGCGGGGGCGGCGGTGGGGAACGCGCTCCGCCCCCCGGCGCGCTGGAGCCCGACGTGGCGGCGACCCCCGCGGCCCCGGTGAGTGCTCCCTCCCCCGCAGCTCCGCTCCCACACCGTCTACCCGCGGCTGGTCCGGGGAGCCCCCGGCGGTGTCTGTGCCACCACCCGCCTGTCGAGACGGGGCGGGAGCGCAGCGAGAACCTTGGCCAGCTGGAGCCGGTGGCTGGAAAATTGTCATCGCCTAGGAGGCGCGGGAGCCCTGGGAGAGGCGAGCCGCGGTCTCCTCCCTTCGAGGTGGCGGCCCCCGGGGCTGCCAGGCTGCGGCTCAACCGCATTCCTGCCCGGGCGGGGCGGGTGGGGCTCCCGGGACACCAACGGGGAGCCTCAGCCTTCCCTTCCCCCTCCCGTGGGCCCAACACCCTGCGGCTTTGCCCGTAGCTGGCAGCAGCTCCCTAGGCCTGCCTTCTCCTGGAAGGTCCCGAAAAGGGGGTGTGCTCCGGGCTCCCCGATTAAGAGAGCAAACAGGCCAGTCTTTTGGGACCTTTGAGGCATCCCAAGATCCAGACGCCAAGTGGTCCCCCTTATCCTGAACACCGCACCCGGTGAGTGTCTTGGAAAGACTTAAATAGTGGCTGGAATTTTTAAAGTATTAATCCTTTTATTTTAAAACTTATTTACAGAAAAAAAAAAAATACAAGTTTGTTTTGCCTACGGCGTGGCTCAGATATTGGCGCTTGTTACCTTGGCTCAGAGTTCAGGAGAGGCCAATCAGTGGAAGCGCAGAGGAGGGTGGGCTCAGAGTACTTCAGGGGTTAGGTAGCGCCCCTCCCCCTGCGTTGGAGGCAGTGTTAAGAACCTATAGTAGAGTTTTGATGTATATACCCTTAGTGACCCACTGACCTAGTGTCTTGGCTGGTGTTGGGCACTGGTCTGTCTTGTAGGGCAGTACTTGCTGCAGTTTGGTCTTCAGAGCTTTGTCCTTCTGTCCTTTCTAGCTTCATCCTCCACCTGCCCTAACATGGGCCAGACACTCACAGCAGCGCTTCTGGTGTGATTCCCTCCACTCCAAGCATGGTGCCTCTTACCTCCCCAAAAGTCTCACTGGCTCATTTGATGGCCAACTCATGGCACCTCTTCTGGGAAGCCTTCTAATGCTTTTCAGAGCCCGTGGCTTCCTCTCCATTTTGTGCAAGGATCTGTCATAACCTCTCCTGTCCACCCCATGACTGCTCCTCACCTGGAGGCACAGGGAGGGTTTGTTAAATGGTCAGGGTTGAAAGAACAGAGAAGGTGGAACTAGGGGAGTGTGTGCAGAAGGCTGTTGTGTGAGTGTTGGATTGTAGCCACCTCCTTGTGCGGCCAGATCATCACATATCCCCTCAGAACTGCCTGGGAAGTGTCCCTGCTTTTGGAGGGTCTCTGCAGCTGGGGGGCCGGGGGACAGAACAGACCCACTGTCATGATGTGGAGGCCCACACCATCCCCTGACCTTGGTTTGAGCCCACTTCCCTTTACCCACACAGGCTTACTAAACTCTCTCCCTAAAAGCTCAGGAGCTCAACCCCCAGGACCCTCTGCCTCTCCTGTATTGGTCCCCTTAGGGTCTTGCATTTTTATGCAGTGCCCCAACTCCACACCTTGTTCTGGTAGCATGATACAGGGTTTCACAGCCGATGTTCTAGAACAGTTTGCCTCTTATCCAGGTTGGGTGTGGGACTGCTGCCTCCACATCCTGGCCAAGTGTAGCATGTTCTCTCAAATTAGGCAAAGAAAATGACAGATCCTAGAAAACCAGGGAACACAAGGACTGCTGAGGTCAAGCTCTGCACAGTGCTTAGCATGGATCATATTGATCACAGAGGCCAGGATTCCCGCCAGGAGACTGCCAGGATGGAACTGTCTCCTGTTGAGTCAGAGCACCTGTGGCTTTTTGGGGCTAAGGATTGCTACCCTTCAGTAGGCTTTGCTCTGGGGCGCTGAGTTTTCAGCATAGTGGAGGCAGACAGAGACCTCTCAGTGTGCCTCTTATCCAGGAGACTGAGTTGTATGTAGATTCACCTGAGGCAAAGGAGACGGGAGGGGAGGGCACTGAATCTGATTTGAAAAAAAGCCTGATGATAGTTCTGTTGGTTTGGTTTTTCTACAATGTTGAGGCAACAGTAACAGAAGGGGGAGGGGCATTTGATTGAGGGTTCTGGAGTGCTGGGCTCCAGTTCATGGAGGCTTTCTCTCCACATTTCTGCTCTTGTGTGGTGGCTCCTAGGTCTGGCCACCATCCTGATGCCGAGATGGAGTCTGTTTCCTCTTTTCTGCCTTTTACAAAACTACAGTGAGAGGAGACACACTGCTCCTCCATGTGCAAGTAAGGGGAGGATGTAGTGTGACTTTTTTTTTTTTGTCTTTTTAATTTTTTAAATTTTTGTTTTGTTTTGTTTTGTTTTGTTCCGTTTTGTTTTTTGGCAGTACCAGGGATTGAACTCAGGACCCTGCACTCACCAAGCAGGTGCTTATTCTACTGAACTATCTCCCCAGCCCCAAGTTTTTTTGATATAGGGTCTCACTATGCAGTTCAGACTCATAGTGATCCTCCTGTCTCAAACTCCCGAGTGCTGAGATTACAGTCATGTGCCACCATGCCCAGCAGTGAGAATCCTCTGAGGGCACAGAGTGCATTCAGACTCCACCTGGGATTTGAGCCCAGGCTTTCTGGCTCCTGTCCAGTGCTCTTCCCATACCCTCCCTCGTGTGCCCTGATGCGGGGCACAGACCTCAAAGGGGAGGGCACCCACCCAGCGCCTTGTGATAGCTCTAACCATCCACTTCTCTGTCCTAGAAGAATCCAGCATCTCTCCCCAGTGCCCCGGCAGCTGGCTGCTCCCCGAGGCTTTGCCCACTGTCTTTTGGAGAAGGAGTGGAGTTTGACCCCTTACCACCGAAGGAAGTAAGGTAAATGTAGCAAGTCTGATATTTCTTAAATTTTCTCTTGCTGTTCTAGATGTGATAGCCTATTATTTTAAAAATAGTTAATTATGGAAATAGGCCAAAGACTATAGTATGGTGGATAATCTTTCAGATTTTTTTCCCCTGTATTTTAGCCAATTAAATTCATGGACATTCTTTTTTGTTTGTTTTTTTGTTTTTTGAGGCAGGGTCTTACTGTGTAGTCCAGGTTAGCCTTGACCTTGTGATCTTCCTGCCCCAGTTCCTGAGGGCTGGGACTGGCATAATGTGCACACACAGATATACTTTCTAAAGTGAAAATGAGATCCTGTGATATATAAAGTACTACAACTTTATGCACTTCAGATATCATGTTCATCAGATGCTAAAATTTTTATTGAATATTGATCTTTCTGGGAGCTCCCCACCCAGTCCTTTCTTCAAGGTGCTGTCACCTTGTCTTCTGTTACTCTGTCACAGGACAAGTTCTAGTCTTCCTGTGAGAATGATCTCATTCAGGTTTATCCAGGGGCACTGAGAGGCTCTGTGAAAACTGTCTTTTTAGAGAAAGGAATTGTAACTTTTAGTGACTGGGGGATTTGTAGCTGTAGTTTCAGTAGCATTGACACAAAGGGGCCTTTGATGTGGAACAAAGAGAGGTTTATGGGTTTAGAGGTGAGCAGTTTTACCTTTTATTCCTGTAGAGCTTGTATTTCTAACAAAACAAGGATGTGACTTCATAACATTAGTTTCCACCAGCCTCTCTGCTACCTGCCCAAGGGGAGCAGGCATTCCCACCAGACTCCCAGAACAGAACGCTGGCTCCTACCTGAGCAGGGGTAGCAGCTGTTAGCTGTGTCTCTACACGATGCTTGTGCCTAGTTTAGTATCTATAGAACTACAATCATAATGTAGTAAAGTGCTTCTTTGAACCCCCAAATTACCAAAGGTCTTAAAAAATAAAATAGTTGAAGAACATAAATGGTAACTTATTTGATAGAACTCAAGATTATAGTTGGCTTTCGGTGATGAAGATCAGGTTCCCGAGTCCCTGGGTTTGGGAGAAGGCCAAGGTAGAAAACCAAATGCTAGGCTTGGGTACAGCCTAGCTTCCAGAGTCAACGCTCATTATTTCTGAGTTTCTGGGTTTCTTCCATTTCTCATTAAAGAGCCACTCAGTCGCTTGAGGGAATAGAGAAGCTGCCCACATAGAGAGAATCCACCTCATTCTACAGTAGTCACTTGTCACTTTACGACAGAACCATATTCAGAGCAAATGTGTTAGGCGATTGATTTTGTCTTTGTGTGAACACCATGGGGTATATGTACACAAACTAAGAAGACAACATCATGAGGCCATATAATCTTGTGGGACTGCTGTTGTAGGTGTGGCCTGTAATTACTGTGTTGACATTCTCCTTCATGAAGATGGGCCAGACTTTACAGGAAGGGGCAACTGAGGCTTAGTTAGGTAAGACCACCTGATAAAAGGCCCTTGCTTAAATCAATTGGAGCAGGATCCAGGGCCTGCAGGCTGCAGTGAGACGCAAATGCAGGGTAAGCCTCGGAATCCTGCTCCCCTACACTGAAGCCCCAGCTCAGGACTGGCGTAGCTCAGTAGTAGGGCACTTTCCTAACCTGTGCAAGGCCCTGGGTTCCATTCCCAGCATCATATATGAATAAATCCAAGCTTTGCCACCCTGTGGCACTGTGTCTTTTGTCTCTGTCACTTGCTTTCCTCTCCCAGGATTGTTAAGAAGACTGAATTTGATTTTTTGTTTTGTTTTGTTTTCGGAGCCAGGGATTGAACTCAGGCCCTTACTCTTGCCAGGCATGCGCTTAGTCAACTGAGCTATCTCCCCAGCTCCTCTGAATTTGATTCTATGATAAAGTGCTTAGAAAGATTGTACCCGGCACAGAATGAGTATGTCAGTTCTGTGCTGCTTCTCACTGGCATAGCCACATTTCAGTATTTACACCCCACTGGACACTCAGGGTCACAGGCAGCCATACCCCTTTCTGCATGCCTGTAGCTCTGAGAAAAAGCTTCATTCTGTCTGATGTCTCCCCCAGGTACACTTCCTCAGTCAAGTATGACTCCGAGCGCCACTTCATCGATGACGTGCAGCTGCCCCTGGGCCTGGCAGTGGCCTCCTGCAGCCAGACGGTCATCTGCATCCTTAATTGCACATGGCGCAACTACAAGGCTGAGGTGCGCTTTGAGCCCCGCCACAAGCCCACACGCTTCCTCAGCACCACCATCGTCTACCCCAAGTACCCCAAGACCGTCTACACCACCACCCTGGATTACAACTGCCACAAGAAGCTGAGGAGGTTTCTGTCCAGCGTGGAGCTTGAGGCCACCGAGTGCCTGGGTGGCGACTGCCTCTCGGATGAATGCTGACTTGCATGGGCTGGTTGGGGTCGGACCAGCTATTGGCTGTCTGCCCTGGTCCCCAGACCACCCATGTGGGCCTTGCACATCATTCCAGCCCTGGAGGAGTTGAGCCTGGGATACCACTGAGTCCAGTTTGGGAAGAAGAAAAAGAAGCACTGCATCTTATAATTATTGAGCTACTTGGCTTTGTTTTTAAATTTTCAAATTATCTTAAAAAGGAGTACATTTCCTGGTTTGCTGCTGCAGTTTCCCTGAAGTCTCCATAGGATAAGAAAATAAAAAGACGACTAGAGCAAGAAGAGAATGACAGTAAATGGGACCAGGGAGCCAGTGGTGGAGGTGGAGGTGCGCTCTCTCTCCACAGCTGTGGGTGTGAAGAACAGGTGGAAAAGTCCCTGCGATGGGAAAGGCGGCTGTAAGAAGTTTCAGCCACAGACATCTTCACTGCTACAAGGCTAGAGCTAATTCAGTAAATTGTGAAACCCATATGTGTTCAATCTGTGGAAAGTTGAGTTCCATTCCATTTTTATTTCTACTTCCATTTGTATTTCCTGTTAACTGAAACTCTTGGAATTCTCTAGATCTTTTTCACGATATCAAAAAACCCCAAACCGCAATACGAGATGCCTTTGGGGGAAGAAACAAAGGCTCCCTGTGTTGCTGCCTGCCTCGGATGGCCAGGTGGACCCATGGCTCTGTTTGGGGGCAGCACAGGGCCAATGGCTTCCGTCAGATCCCCAGCGGGTGGGGTCTACCGCCTGCTCTGGCTCTGCCCTCGCACACTTGGCATCTGGTTAGCATCTCTGCAGGCTTGTGTAACTTTCTCAATAGGTATTTTGGGGTTTCAAAATACTTTCCAATTTTTTTTCATGAGGCAGAATGTAGCAGAGGGCTCTTTTGAAAGAAATGGCTTTTTTTGTGTGTGGTTGTTTTTTTTTTTTTTTTCTAAACCGGGGATTGAACTCAGACCCTTGTGCTTGCCAGGGAAGCGCTTATTCCACTGAGCCATCCCCCCAGCCCCAGAAATGGCATTTTAAAAGAAATGCTTCAGAAAAATACTTCCTAGGGCTCTTATCAGGGAGGTTTCTACTCTGGATTGCCTCACCTCAGACCCACTGCTGGTGGGAAGAGGTGACTGCAGATGCTTCTGGTGCACCAGTGGCCATGAATAAGTATCTGGATGGACTTGTCTTGGGGACTTTGGTGGTGTTGAAATTGGGGAAAAGTTGGGTCTAATCCAGCTGCCCAGAAAGCAAGGATTCTTGCCCCCGTCCTGCCCCTGGGTTAAACTGAGTTCAGGGTAGGGAAGGGTGGCATAATTCAGCCAGCACAGCGTGGTCACTGCAGCAATGGTAGCCATTTCTTTTCCGCCACTGTATCCATGAAAGTGACCACTGTGGAGCCCACCAGATATAAGTTGAAGGTGTTCCTGAGGCAACTGTGAGCACAACCATGCTGGCGGCCGCAGCAATAGAGACCCCGCTGCTGCTGGGCAGGTGTGGACTAGGCTCCCTGCTCACTGGCCCTGGCCACAGCCCTGGCCCATGCTTCTCAGCACCTCCTGCCAATCTGTGCAGTGCCTGAGTAAGGAAAGTGGAAGATGGACTTTCTTCCAGTGCTGGAAAGAACAAATCGTGCATAGTTCCTTTGAATGCATCCAAATTATGTCAAGTGATCCTGGGTTACAGAAGGTTGTAAGTCCAGCCTCCTGCTTTATCTCCAGGCTTCTGTGGATGGCTTCCATCTGTCCTGAAATCAAAACTGAAAGCTGTCTAGGTCCCCTGGAGCTATAGCAGGGGCTTTTGTTATGGTGAAAGCAGGTGCAGTCCTGGTCACTCTCACTCTCAAGTGGAGTCGCTGAGGGCCTGGAGAGTTACATTGTCTGGTGTCCTCGGCAGAGGACAGTGCTGTGTTCCTAATAGACAGTGTTTCCATGCAGCTGGTTTGCCAGGGTGCATCTCAGCAGGCACCCAGCCTTGGGAGCCTGTCATCTCCTGGATCATGGACAGAGTGACAAGTACTGGCTGACTTTGGAAGTGCAAATCACACAGGGTATATTAGTAAACGCGGATGTTTCTATTTGATTTCCTGATGTTGTCATTAAGTGATAAGTGTAATTCTTAAATTACATGAGGCGAATGCCAGAGGCCCTGCGCTGTCCGGGTGGAGAGGAGCGCTTGGATGCGCTCAAAACCCCACGGTGGCAGTGTGGCCAGAGGAGCATTTGTT